CACTGGCTATTTTTAGCATCGGGACTGGGGGCTTGCTGTATTGCTGACAAAAATAAATGTGCTGATTCCATAATACAGTGCTAGACTCTTAGGCTATAACTCAATAAACTATGAAGATACTTTGCATAATGTTTTTTTTTCTTTTTTGGCTTGTCCAAGTCCATCTATCCTTCAAAGCCCAGCTTATACCACCACTCCTTCAAGTGAAGTCTCATGTCCCATACACTTGAACTGATTATAATTAATTATTATAGTTAATTATTATAATTAATCTCAGTTCGCCACGTTTTAGCACTGCACTATTTCCACTTATGCTGTCAAGATTTTATGGACCTTTTTTTCTTTAACCAGACTGGAAGTTCCTTGAGGTCAGAGGGAATTTTTTCTTCCTCTTTGTTTTTGCTGGTAGTTATTTCCCCCAATGTTATGTTGTGTACACAGCAGGTGCTTAATAAATGCCTGTGGGCTCACCCATCAATCTACCAGTGCTGTCTGAGGGGTGAACAGTCCCTCAGACTCCAGGCTACTCCAACAGCTGTTAACCTTCACTGATGCGAACCACAGAAGTAGGTTAGTCTAGCGTAAGAGAGATGAACAGAACCAGCAGCACACCTTTGATCCTCACCAGTTCAACAGGTCAAGCCTGACACTTGCTATCTGGGATCAAGATTTACATGGAATAGTAAGCAAACGGACTTTCCTGGTGGCACAGTAGGTTAGAGCACAGTGCTATGAAGCTCTCCTCAGCCACTGAAGCTCAAGTTTGATCCCCAGCCAGGGAGTTGACCACATGGCACAAAAGGCCTCTTCCTGTCTCGCCTGCTGCTCCCCTCAGCAGTGGATTTCAGTAGATCAGCTGTTCTGCTCCCCACTCTGTCTCTGGTGAATTCCCTTACTCCCCAGCATCTCTGGTCTGTACCCTGTTCTTGGATGTATAAACAAATCTTTTTTAAAAAAATTAAAAAGTGATAGTTATCTGCAGAAAAACAGTAAGAAACATGCTGACCCGGAATGACCACTTAAAAAACAAAAAACAATGTTTTTTTTTCATAGGTATGAAATCTGAAATAGTCACCTTTTTCCCACCTTTGGCTTCACCTTCTATTTGGGAAAAGAGAGATGAAAAGCGAATTGGAACATGGGTGGGTGAGCTACCTGGGGTCTGAGCAGGGTGTAGGGAAGATTGGGCCTTTCAGGAGGAAGACAGGCTCGCTCTAGCCAATCTCTGGGCTCATCTGCTGTCTCCCTGTTGCTGCTACACTGCTGACTGGTCAAAATAACTAAATTCCTGGTATGAAGTAAGTGCCTGTCTTTTTTTTTTTTTTTTTTTTAAGATTTATTTATTTGTGCATACAGAGAACTGGGGTACAGGCCAGAGGTATAGGGGCAGCGAGAGGATTCACCAGAGACAGAGTGGGGAGCAGAACAGGAAGATCGACGAAGTACACTGCTGAGGGGAGCAGGGATTGGGTCAGGAGAGGTCTGCCACGCCATGTGGTCACCTCCAGGGCAGGCGGGGATCGAACTCATGCAGAAGTGGCTTCAGCTTCCTAGTGCTGTGCTTTAACCCGCTGCGCCACCAGGGAGGGCCCATGCCTGTCTTCTTTTAAGAAAAGAGCTGAGGAATAATGTTCCTTGGTATTTGGAGTCAGTAATACAAATTTAACATCTGTAGGTTAGGCAGGGATTGTGGAGGAAGACAATTTCAGTTTTACCTAGCTGGAAGTCGGGAAATGTGCTTCTTTCTAGAATTCTAATCTCTTTCCTCATGTGTCAGCAAATATTCCAAATCTAAAGGGCATATGTGAGATTTCGCTTTTATGCTACAGAGAACACGAGTGCATCCAAACACTAATTATCCAGCTTCGCATGCTGTTTTACAGTTTGACTACTAATATCCTACATTTAAATAGCAAATAAACAGTCTCCCACCCCTCTGTGCATTATTGTATTTTTAAAGGTGCAGAAGCACAGACTTCACACTTGTTAAGACTCTTCAGAGTAACCTGGCCTCCTTGATGGCACAGGATTCAAAGTCTCAGAGCTATCAAACTCTCCTCAGCCACTGCCGCATAAATTCGATCCCAGCCAGGGAGCTGACCCACGCGGCACAGCAGGCCTCTCCTGTCTCACCCGCTGCACCCTTCAGCGGTTATTTCATTCAATCTGCCTTTTCTGTTGCCCACTGTGTCTCTAGTGAATCCTTCTCATCCCTTCTCCCCACACCTCTGGCCCATAAATAAAAATGAATCTTAAAAAAAAAAAAATTACTCTTTGGGCCCTCCCTGGTGGTGCAGTGGGTTGAAGCAAAGCACTATGAAACTAGACACAGCCATTGTAGCACAGTTCCAATCTGCCCAGGTAGCTGACCCACATGGTATAGCAGACCTCTCCTGTTTCGCCCACTGCTCCCCTCAGCAGTGTACTTTGTCAGTCTGCCTGCTCATTTCCTCACTCTGTCTCTGGTGAATCCTCCCATCGCATCTGCACCTCTGGCCTGTCCCCCGGTTCTGAATGCATACATGAATAATAAAAAAAAAATTTTAAATAAAAAAAAAAGTCTCTTGAGGGTCCATCTCAATCTGGAGGTTCATTTTGCCAAGTATCTCAGAAGACGGTGCTGTCTGCACACTCACTGGCATTTGCCAAACGAGGACTTTGTTTGATAATTACTATCACCTCCAGTGCAAATGCACGTTTATAGCCACTTAAAATGTATGCAACACTTTCTATATATTGGGATATATGTGACTGCAAAACCTTCGATATAGATTGCCAATGTAGTTGCTTGTAAAATACATCTCCTCTCATTGACTTTTTGTGCATAAAAGCACAATAAACTGTAATAGTAATGTATTATAATACTTAGGTCATGATTCGGAGTTTAAAAATACCAGTCTCTTTCCCTTTCTGACTTAATCATCAGAAAGCCCAGTGGAAAGCCAGAGTAAGGAACACTGCATTATATGGACCTTCAGACACTAACTGACATCCTCTCGGTCACTCAGTAGATGGCTATTCTGGGAAGAGAACCCATCTTTTCGCGAAGGTATACATCTACTCCCCAAGCCACAACATGAGGAGGTGGGCCTCGGAAAGCACCTCATTAACAATAAGGGAAGGAGAAACAGATGCGAGACACATCCGGAAAACTCTCAGTTACAAATGATTACAGTGACCTTGTAAAATTGAGTAAGGTGAAGAAATGTTTCAACAAGACGAGTATTAGACGCTAGTCAGGAAGTTAGTTTTACAAAAGCCAAAGAAATAATCATACATAGAAGAGAACATTTTTGTTCACAATGAACAAAGTCTGAGTTTTAGGGGTTAGAAAGGTCGTGTGAGCCTTCAGGGCATCTGTATTGGGTGTGAAGAGGAACACATGACCTAAGTGATGCTGGTCAGCGTGTCTCCTTCGCACAGGTCAGCCTCAGCTCTCCCAGCTCTGTGCATTTAGGGTGTCACATTCTTTTTGCCTACATCTCCCAGCCTCAGGAGAGCATTCGCTCTCCCGCTCGCCCCATTAAGCTAGACGGCTTATGCAGAAGTCGCACTAGCTGGAGTGTAGCTGATCTACAGCTTTCCTGACATTGCGGTTGACTGGGCACAAAGAAGTCCTGAGTGTGCCACTAAGCGGAGTGTTGCTATAACCACCCCAACAAGCTTGCTCATGTCAGTGAGCCTTGAGGAGTGGGGCGACCTTAAGTCAGGGAAATGAAGGCACACCAACCACACGGAAAAGGCAGCTCATCCTATTTGGGACATTTGTGACACACAAATCAGATGATGATCTTTCAATGGCTAAAGATGCTCTGGCCCTCCATCCAGCCTAAACTGGCTGTATAGATAAGAAAACAATGAGTATGAATTCCATTTTGAAACAGCATTTATTCTATGACTGTTACTTCCTACACTACTGATAGATTGAATAAGAGACAGAAAGGAGATACCGATTATCTCCTATCGGGAGATCACAGATCATGACCTTTTCTTAACTGAGAATCACTTTCTAAATCACAGATACTTTTCAGGACTCACTGTACTCAATGTCCAGACGTAGCTCAGCAATTATTTCAAAAAATTAACAACGCTAAGTATCAGGTAAGTCTACAAGGTTGTGGTTAACATACAAGCTGACCAGGTCTAAATATAAACCATGCATTGCCTCTTGTACTTCTTGCATTGAAAATGTCACACTCAAAGTCTTGCTTGTGAACCCAAAGGAAGGCACATGACACAGCGTAACTCCAAGTACGTTCTATATACTGTACTTGCTTAAGATCAGGTTTTCGCACGCACACACATGAGTACGAAGTATCGTGAAGTGGGATGTGGTCCACACATATGGTTCTTCTTTCATCTCAGGGAGATTCACCTGCTACAACATAGATCTAGTTTCCATATAGGACAACTCACAGGCCATTTTTAAAAACTATATTTACAAATTGGGTGTCATTTTAATTTTTACAAGAAGAAAGTTATTATTTTATGTCGACAATTGGAAATGAAGTAAACCCATCCCCTTCAAGTAGACCAATATGGGGTCTTCGATATGAAAGATTTGGGGTCTTCAGTGTGAAAGATGATGTGTTTAACTATTAATCCTAGTTCAAACTATCTATGATTTATAACAATGTTCCCTGTATATCCCTTTTTCCCACAACTAGGATATGCATCACTTTCATCTCGGAACAGAGTCTGCTATGACAGAGCTCAGGATACTTGGTCAAATGTGACCATCATCTCCAACTGATAAAGGATAATGGAAGCTTAAAAACATGGTTAGGTAAGAATGGCCTTAGTTAGATATTGAGGGGACATGATTCTGAATAAGTCAAATATCGAGTTGTTCTGATTCTACTCCCTTCTGCTGCTATGGCTCAGTATGCATACGACACTGGATGTCATCTGCTGTGAACCTCGGGTTGTGAGGAAGATTTGAGAATATGGCATGTGACTGTAAAATCGCAGGGACTAAAGCAACAGCAAGGGGCTTTTACCTCACAGGGCTGTTAGAAGAATCTGGGTCATGAGCTGCCACAGTGCCAATGATGTTCCCAACTTGGGTGGCTTCCGACACCTCCATGGGGTACCAGGGCGAAGAAAACACCGGAGGCTCGTCCACATCTTCCACAATGATCTTCACAGTTGTGGTGTCGCTGAAGGGCCCCAAGCTTAGAAAGCGTGGGTCAGCGTCTTTGTTCGCAGCTTCTATCCGTAGTGTGTAACTTGTTTTGGCTTCAAAATCCAGGTCCTGTGAGAAAGTTATTAAGAAAATTAAATTACCAATTAAACAGTCAACAAAGAAGAGCCTTGCCACTTGTGAATGTCAATATACACAGACAGGACTCAGCCACAAAAATGCGCCATCAGCGTTTACAACTGATAAATTGTAATGCCAGTCAGAATCCTCACTGCTCCTGACAGAAAGCTGCTAGCTGACTTAATCCTCTCTCCTACACCACACCGCAGAGGCAAGGGTAGAACTTGGATTGTTTGCAAATCAATGGATAAGACTTAATTTTTTAAAAGATTTTTATTTATGCATACAAGAACTGGGGTACAGGCGAGAGGTGTGGGGGTCAAGAGTCTTCACCAGAGACAGAGAAGGGAACAGAACAGGCAGATCTCCTGAAATACACTGCTGCTGGGAGCAGTGAGTGGGTCAGGAGAGGTCTGCCGCACACTGTGGGTCATCTCCCTGGCTAGGGATTGACCTCATGCTGCAGTGGCTGCAGATAGCTTTATAGTGCTGCACTTGAACCTGTGGTGCCACCAGGGAGGGCCCAAGCTCACTGTGATGTAAATCTTCCTGTAAGAAACGCGACCTAAGAATTCACATTTTCATTTTCTATACAAGTAATCCAGTATTTAACTGTGTGTGGTTAAGAATGAAACAATCTATTTATCTTGTCTTAAATGCATGTTAGATAGAAAATTTGCACATATTCAGGAATTTCTAGGGTCTTCACCAGTTCATTTTGTTCTTACATTACTTAAAAAGCTGACAAATTACACTAGAAATCTTATTTTCACATATTATATATCTAGGTTGGTTGAAATGTGCTAACAGAATCTATTTACTGTCTCATTTTAAGTCAACTGGAAGCCACAACGACCTTTAAAATATTAATTTAGTTTTACCAAGAGATAACATGTACTTCTGTATTCTACTACAAGTTTCACTGACTTATGAAACAATTTTAAACTTTATTGCACAAATGAATGCAATTGTTTTATAGCAACTTCTTTGTTAAAATGTCTAGAAGGCAACAACATGCAATATAGACATCTCGATGCAGCCATGTCAGGAAACAGAATCACACGTGGTCACTGGCTTCATCAAAGTTATTAGGGAAATAGAGCAATAAAAGAATTCCAGTGAAGGGTTATGTGTCAAGATAACAGACAAAAACAAACTGCTACATAGAATGACTTTAAGAACAACTCAGAATAAATCAAACATCTCACTTCTCAAAGAGGGTTGTTGTGATGGTTTGGAAGCTTCCATAAACAGAAGAGAAGCTTTTGCAATCAAACATTAATCCCTGCTTCTCTCTCTTAATAATTTCTGTGCAAGCAATATATTTCTTAATTATTATATTTAATGAGCAGAGTTATACTTGAAAAAATTCAAACAATTAAAGGAATATGAAGGAAAGGGAAAAAAGAAATACAGCTTAATATCTAAATACATTCTAATCAGTATTTCAAACTTTATATCTTTAGAGATTATATGCATATTTGGGAATTTATCAAAGCACTGTCCCTGTCCCAACAGGTATATACAATATACCTGGAGTCAAATCAGTCAGACCCCAACTAGTGGATCAGAGCCATTCTGCACCTCAGAAGCTGCTTTCTCATCTGTCAAATGACATCTGTGCCAGACCCTGAGAGCAAGAACAGCTTACATACCATATTTTCCCCTAAACTCCACAATAGGATTGTTTAAATGCATTGCCATTAAAAAGGTTAGGATTAAAAAATATATACAAGCATTATAACCAGCTAGGGAACTGTTTCTATAAGGATTAGCTAGTACATAATTAGGCTTCATGGGTCACCTCTAAATGAATTTGTGTGTCTATGTACCAATAACTTCATTTGTGGACTCCCCAAATCTCAATTTTGTAAGTTTCAAATATTACACACACAAAAAAAATCATGAACTGTTTTCAATCATTTCATAATCTAAACCATCCTTAGCTCACAAAAACACAAAACCACATCACACGTTCGGCTTCCCCCTTTCCTGCTACATAGGTCAAGCAGGCCTGTGGCCTTTGTCGCCAGGCCCTACACTGTGTAACATCACCACGCATGGACAGCACCCACCTCACCAATTCATAGGCTGCTATAAATTACTGGAAAACTTAAAGCACCTCGAGTCATGCCTTCATACATCCCAATCAGCGCATCAGGCACTTGCTGTCACTACCATACTGTCACTAGTGCTGTTGTTCCTGCTAGATTATGAACAAACTGAATGGAAGGAAAGACTGTCTCAGCTGTTTCTCCCATGGCATCTAGGTCTTGGTCACTGACAAAGTCAGTTTATACTATTTACATGTGAATTAAAGGAATATATATTACGATCACAAATATGTGAGTGACAATAGTTCTCCCTGACATTTAGAAGGTTTGATATTAAAATCCATATTAAAATAAAATCCTGAATTCATTTAATAAAATCACTCCACTGCCCTTTTCTTTCTCTGTACAGCTTGGCTTCTGGTCTTCAGCCAACTATGCTCTCATTTAGCTCAATGACCTTCTTTTAGATCTTGTATTTTTCGCCAATGCTGTTGTTGATGTTTCAGGAATTGATCCAAACTAAATCCTTTCAGAAGTTTTTCATTTTGTTCTTCCAGCCCTAGGCCTGGTGTGTGCACACATACACACGTGTACACACTTGCTATTTAGTGCCTTATGTTTATTGTTGGATTTGGAGCAAGGCTCTATTAACTATTAATTAACTAAGAATAGTTAGGGTTTATTAGATAAAGTGAGGATTCACTCTCGAGACAGTCCAACAGAATTACTTGGTGAAAACTGTTCCCAGGAAGTCTCAGTTCCATAAGCAGTGAGTCACTGACATTAAGAATGTCGCTACCTATTCATGGAGGAGGAGCTTCTGTTCTAAAATGTCCCCACGCAAATACATCCAGTCTCCTCCCCGACGGAGAGCTGGACACTCACTGTCAAATCTACACTGTTAATCTGAACAGGCTGACTTACACGTCAGGCAGGCAGATTCTGTATTTAAGATGGAGGCTATGAAGACAGCTTGTTAGTTTGTCTACCGCACTGGGGACTGGATTCCCAGAAAATTTTACATTTCTAGAAATTAAACAGTTATCAGCTGTAAACTCATTCTTGCTCTAGAGATTTCAGCTGCCTTACAGGACAAAGTACACTTGTATTCTTCTCTTACCATCCTCCCTCCTTGATCAAATCGATATAAATCTTTGTCCCCCACTCAAAAAAAAAAAAAAAAACTTAAATGAAGCCATACCGAAGGGGTGGGGAACCTCAACCATGACTTTTCCATATGAATTATTTACTCTAAGAAAATCTACTAGCCCCAACTTTAAAATTAATTTATACACTTGAAAAAGGAATCCAGGAAACAGTTTTTTTGTACATTTCAACGCAATGCTAAATGTCTAACGTTCTAACCCAGAAAAGGTAAAACACAACTTCTTGGTTAATACAATCACACCACTGCTTACTTGGCTTTCTCCCTTTTTGGGCATGGGGTCAACAAAGCTTCCTCAACTTCGGGAAATTCTGGCAGGTTTCCTCCAAACTGTAGGCCATAACCCCTTCACACATTGTTTGAAAACTTGTAAGCCCACTTTTGGCCCCTTTGATAGGTAAATAGGTTTAAGAGTTTTTTAAACATCTTCTCACTATCCAGAAATGTCATCCTCCAGGAACTGGGAACCACATCTTTGAAATGTAACCCAGGAAGACAGGGTTTCTGGGAGTTAGAGCCGCAGAGCTTGGGGGTCAATTTGTCAGCAGATAAATACCTCTTCTTATGAAAATACAAACAATTTGCTTCTTCTTTATATAAAGCCAATTAGCACACCCAGCTGACCTAAGATGCACCCCTCAGCTCCCACTTCAGCTCCTCAAACTTTTCCAACCCATACAGTCAAGTTTGGTTTAGATCACATTCTGACCTCTGCTCCCCACTGCAATATCCTTGAGATCTGTCTTCTTCTCTCTGTGCTGTGCAAGTTTGCTTTGAGAGTTGCAAGTGATTCTGTAGTTAAATGAAGTTTTTGTTTTGAAATTGAGGGAACCATGAAACCTATATTCCAACAGGAACTAAGCATTACTTTATTTTTCCAACAGAGAAAACAAGAAAAAGATGTGACCTCAAATTACTATAGGAAAAATAACTTAAGATTCTATATTTGGATGCACCAAGTTGATGCCCTCAGAGCTTTACGGGTTAAGAGCCATAGGACTGGGGTGTCCTCTGCAGGGGTCTATCTATCACCTGCCTGTCTCACTGGGCCAGACCAGGAGATCTATGATAGGAACACAAAGATTTAATCTTCCAGATCTCCAACAGTTATAGTTGGCTTGGATAGAATAAGGATTCATGATTGCTGAATGTAGGAACAGAAAAAATATATAAAGCCAATCGGATCATTTGACTCTCTAGAAAAATATGTGTAAGTAAATTTAGAGTAAGAAAAAAAAAATACATGCCTTCATGTTCATTTGTATACAGAACTCATTATTTCATTAGCAAGTACTTGATACAAATATTCACATTTTGGGAACAGAATAATTCCACCACATAGAAAGTATGTGTTGTTTTGTACATAAATTGGGAACCTGACAATAGTAATATGAATTATTGCAGTAATGTTTGAGCCAAGAGAATAGGCATACAGAATATAAATATCAGGGGTTGTTATTTCCATTATCTACTTCTACTTACAGAAGATTCCTCTGGCTTCCAGGATTATTTAAATTAACATTTTAACCTAGATATAATGAGCCCTGCCTTGAATATTTTTTAAAGCTATTAAAGCAGGTATCATAAAATGATATATCTATTTTGGACCAATAGACAAAAAATCTTAGGCCACCACCCACACGCAAATGCATTTCAGCTCACTAGTCGGTCTTATCTACAAAAAGGAAGTGTCTTCGATTGCTGAATTTATTCCCATTAACAAAACAGTTTTCTATAGCTCTTATCACGGATGGGTTACTGTTCTAAGAGTT